AGGCTGTGGGCAGTGTCCTCACTCTCCAGGGCTGGTCTGCAACAGGCGAGGCTGTGTGTGGGTAGTGTCCTCACTCTCCAGGGCTGGTCTACACCAGGCAAGGCTGTGGGCAGTGTCCAAAGCACCGTCTGGACTCTCCCCAGCTGCCTTTCACGCATTGATCACCTCCATCTGACAGATGAGGAAACTGAGGCTGGGGTAAAATGACTCCCCCCCCAAGGGGCGTCATTCGAACCCAGGTCTTCCGAGTGTCTGACCTGGGGAGGCCTGGATGTGCCTCCAGGGTGGGCGACAGGAGCTGTTCAGGACCCTGGAGGGGGTTCGGACCAGCCTCAATTTACTACTCGGTAAAACCAGCCAAGGAGCATGCAGTGAGCGCCTAACGTATGCGCGAGCTGGGGCCTCGGCCGGTGGGTCGGAGACAGTCCACGCCTGCCCTCAGGGCGCTTGCGCTCCAACGGTGGGGGGAAGGGGGAGAAAGAGGGAAGGCCACGTGACCCTCTATGTCCTGAGGGGCCGACGCACAGCCTGCCGGGAGAAGCTAGAAGCAGGCAGTGCTCCAGGCGCAGGCGCAGACCATCTCAGGTCCACAGCGCAGGCGCACTAGCCTCAGGCCTCAGGCGCGCTCTAGAGGATAACTGTCCCTCGGCGGCTGCCGTCTCCCCGTCCGGGCGCGCGTCGGTTCCCATAGTGACGCCCACGGCGGCCCCGCCCCCGACCTCATTGCTATGCAGACGGTCTCAGGGAGGAGGCTGGCCCGCTGCGGAGGTCCTGCTTCCAGAGGGCTGAAGGTCGAGGCAGGTTAGGAGTCCATGGGCGGCCCGGACCCCGGGCCAAACTTGGCGTTTGTCTCCTGTGGGGTCCCGGCCCCGGGTTCGAGCCTGGTGGCCATGGCCCTCAGAACCGAGCCCTGAGGCTCCCCACTGCAGACCTCCTGGGGCGGGGGGGGGGTGGAGGTCCCCCCGCGCTGGACCCCTCCCCCCATCACCTTCCAGGCCCGGCCACACCTGTGGGGGAGGGGGGAGGGAAAGGAACAAGCATTTATGAAGCCACGACTGTGTGTCAGGCCCTGGGTTCGAGCCGTTACTCACATTATCTCGTTGGATCCTCACCACAGCCTTGCGAGGTAGGAGCTGTTACTGACCCCATTTTACAGATGAGTACACTGAGGCAGGCAGAGGCTAAGTGACTGGCCAGGGTCACACAGCCGGAAGTGTCTGAGGCTAGTCTCCTCATCCCAAGCTGAGTCTGGTCTTTATTTCACGTGATTTTGAAGGCCAAACAGAGCATTTTGTTTTGCTCCTGGAGGCCATAGGGAGCTACTAGAGGTGATTGAGTAGGGGGTGACATGTTCTGACCTGTGCTTTAGAAAGATGCCTTTTGAAAAAATAATGCATATTAATTTATTTTTAGTTTTCAACATTCACTTCCACAGAAAGATCTCTTTGGTAACTGACTGGAGGATGGACTAGAGTGGGGAGGGACTGAGGCAGGCAGACCCCCCCCCCCCAGAAGCTACTGCAATAGTCCAGGCCTGAGGTGGTGAGGGTCTGCATCAGGGTAGGGGCAGTGCAGGTGAAGTGGACCAGAGATGTAGCAGAGGTGAAATGGACCAGAGATGTAACAGG